TCCTCGAGCACGCCGTAGAGGATTGATATGGCCTCAGAAGGGGTTTTGGCCTCCGAGGCTAGGAAGAGGGAGTCCGTGGTGGCAGGGGTGTGAGATGCAGACATTCTCTACAGATTTGGAGTTCTGTAGAGTTATGGATCACACTTAGAAAAGAAAAAGATAAAGGAAAAAAACACAAAACATATGAAAAAGCATAAATCTGCGATTTTTACTTTGGGGAGACTGTATGTATGACAAACTACCATCTCCAATAGAACAGGAAATCCGAAATCACAGAAGAACTAAAAGTGTGTGCTCAGATCTTTTCCATTTTCTTTGCTAATTGGTTTGACACTCCGAAATTCAAGGAAGCTTCAGTACAAACGCGTAACAGGACCATGAGCTAGATGATGGATTATTTACTACTTGAAAAAGTTTGAACAACAAATCACTGCATATCAAGGGCTCGTTTACTTTGTGAGATAGGATAAGACTAAATAATCAGGTTAACTTTACATGTCAGCATTTAGTCCCTGTTTACTTTGAGGAATGGACTTTTGAGAAACAAATCCCTCATTTACTTCACTGGATTAAATGAGATGTTAGACCGGGAAATCCCTAATATACCCTTCTGTACAGCCAAATATAGGAAGTAAAACAACAGGTATCCAAATATCCAAAAATCTAAGGCAAAACATAGATTTGTAAATGAAAGCATACAGTACGAGCTCCATCTTCAAAATAATTATGCACATCCACACAAAATGCACATTGAACAAGATCTATGTGTGAAGTGTAAACTCATTTTTCCACAAACACACGGCAGAGCAAATGAAGGTATATGTGCAATACCATACTCAGTCGGATAAACATGGTGCAGTTCAAAAAACACATTGTTGGGGAAAAAAAATATAAACCCGAAACTATCGGCAGCCTGCTACAACTCGAGGAACACCATTAATCTTCACAAATTTCGAGCTTACCTTGCGTNAACCCAACACAAACCCTCATCAAAGAGAAAATCCAAACAAAAACAGAAGAAAAGAAAATGAGCGTTAACAGTTTAAATGGGTTTACCGCCTGACGAAATTTCTCGATACTGTTGCTGCGATTGTGTAGAGAATTTCTAGCCTTTACCGATTTATTTATGATATTTTCAGCCAACGCAGAACAATATATTTCTTCGATGTATCAACCCGATATTTCGACAAATATTTTGTAGCAATGATTTTACATCAACCCGATATTTCGACAAATATTTTGTAGCAATGATTTTACAGAAGATTACTTCGAACATGGAGCTTACCTATCGCTGGAATTACAGAAGATTGCTTCTTCCTCCTCTACCCCTCGTCGCTGCGCAAGAATTAGGGCAAACACCGGTTTCATCAATTTTATATGGGACAAATTTGTAATAATGTTGTCAATTGGGGGTAATCTAGTATTTTGGCAGCAAAAAGTGAGGGCAAAATGGGTACCAGATTTTTGGGATTAAGTTATCCATGGGGTAGGCCGGATTTTTTTATCAGCTTGTTGGGGATAAACAAGAGGACCACGCCTGCCACATAGGCGCCACGTCGTCAAAATCCTATCCAAATCCTTGTAAGTAAACAGCGGAAATTCCAGGATTATTTTCTTATCTAATCCTGTCCCTCAAAGTAAACGAGCTCCAAGAGGATTATCCCTGATTGTTGTAGGTAAACAATTCGCGCAGTGGTAATCAAACCAAGTGATAAGAGATCAGGTCACAATTTCATATCTGACTTTCTCGACAATGATTTCACATCAGAATCTAAATTTCGATTTGCGCAGGTAGGAAAAGAAGATAATATAATCTATAACGTGATGATGATGATGAGTGAAAGGAAAATCAATACCGTATTACCGAAATACTAAGGAAGAACAGATGAAACAAAGCGCAGAATTTGAGGAAACTTACCGATAATTCACGCAAGAATTGATCCACAACGAAGAGACGACGAAGCTTTTTTAGGGATTTACTGAAACGATTCCCAAATTATAAAACCTTTTCTTGGAGGGGGCGACGCCCAGTTTGGGCCTTGTGAACGAAATGTTGGGCCGTTCTTGAGAAGCCCATATCTATACTAGCGCGAAAATAGAGGGAAAAATCTATTGTCTCTTATCTAATATAAAGATGTTTGGCACTGTAGCATAAATCTAGGTAAAATGGAGATCCACCGGCAAATCCATCGGCGGGAGATACACTCTCGATAGATCAGTGGTTCATACACATATATTAATTATAGAATCCAACGATTATAAGAAATAAAAGTATAGCAAGTTTAGCAACACCCCCTCAGTTTGATAAATGTCGGTTATGCAAGTGCTCACGATAGGCTTGAGGGGTCAACTCCTTAGAAACCTAAAATTGTACGAGAGAATTATCATTAATAAATTATCTTATTACTCGGAAGAATTATTGAGATTATCTCCCTTAATCAAAAAATTAATGATTAAGCACTTTATGAAATTTTCTTGTGGAACTTGACCTCTCGGTTTAAGGAAAAAGACTTGGAAAACGTTCACAAGGCTAAAATATGATTTCGCTACGAACAAACTGGTCGAATGGCTTAAAAATGGTTCAACGGCTCGGGGTTAGTGCGCTGTCACCCGAGAGGCGGCACGCTCGCTAGCGCTGCTTACGCAGAGTGCTGGATCGCGCGCGCACCTGCTCGTAGACCCGCTATTGGTCGAGGTCTGGCAGCACTCACTTGCTTGGGGAGTTTGCGGGTTCAATGATGGCGGTTGCAGCTCTTGTGCGAGTCGACGTTGGTCCCGTGTGTGGCCTCGAGTCTCTCTGCACGAACGTGCGTGCTCGGATATTAATTGTAAAACTTGCATACGAATCAATACAATAATTTATGACATAAGTTGTAATAAATAATATATCTTTATTTTTAGAGATCATAACCAACTAATTGACTGAAAAAAATTATTATTATTATTTATGTGTTGAAAATATGCTGAAGTCATGTGTAACCAAAAATATTGGGGCAAAAGTGTCCAACAATTATTATAACTAAAATATGCTAAAATCATGTTAAAAACCCGAGTTTCCAAAATAAAAAATAAAAAGTGATTGCAGATATGAATGTACATTACAGTACATTGAAAATTAAAAAAAATGAAAAATATAATATATGTGTGTAACCGAAAAATCTGGGGAAACGACAAGAGTTTAATAAAAAACTCTGGAGATACACAAACTACACACCAAGCTTTTATTAATGATATTGACACATAGCACGCATTAACCTCGTCATAAACTTAACAACATCAAATCAGCTTTGGTTCACATAGAGTCATCAGTCTCATCTGAATCACTCCCATCAGGCTCAGGCTCCCCACCTACCATTCCAGTTTCAGGCACATCTGGCTTTGCTGAAGATGTTGAAACCACATTCTTACCAGTATTAGTGGCATCAAACTCTTCTGGTGCCATTTCAGCAGGTAATTAATCAGTCAAGGACCATTGAAAACTATATTCAAATTATGCGTTTATGCAATGAAAAAACCGTAACACACAGGTCATGTGAAACGATTGGACTACAATGCTAAAAAGAGAAGCAGCTAATGACAAGATTTAATGGGATCTTATACCTAATAAACAAGACCTTTTTTTGCATGGAGATGTATTATAAGAGAAAGTGCATTTTTGTTATCCACCCACATCGGAGATAGAGAGACATATACACACATGAAGAGTAGCAAAATAAAAGGATATCAATATTCTCAGCTGTTCCACCAGCCATGATGTTTTGCAAATCTTTCTCGACACGACGGACAAGCTCCGGCTGCCAAACAACACAATATCGTTAATAAGTGTACTCGTAGATTATAAAATATATGTATCACAAATAAACATCACGCATTTGTAGACGTTAATAAATGGAAATCTTATGTTACATTTAAGTCAGGCTCCCGCCTAAATCTTCGCCTTCGAGCATCCCTCATTGGTGGAGTAAGCCCATGCCTGTACTCCCCTGTTTCTGCACTGTCACCCTCCTCTCTCACCATTATCATCTATCACGACTTTAAACTGTTTAACTTGACCTTAGCGAATACAAATATCTAGGAAAATTTGAACAATTATGTAACATACTACCTGGCCAATATCTGCAGTTTTGATCAACACATTGTCGTCATATGTTTTGTAAGACTCTACAACAGTGGGAAGATCCAAGAGGGATGCGGAGAAACTGTCATTCCCGATTACGAATTTGCCAGTCCTTCCATCATCTATAACAAAATAAATAAATAAAATGTAAAAAGGTGCAACAAAAGTCAGAAGAACGAGAACAAACTGGTGATATTTAAGCGCATGAACACTGAAGTATTGATAGAACATAAGAAATCACTATGTGAGGTAAACTTTGAATGTTCAAAGCGAAAAATCAGCATATCACCAGAAAATGACAAGTCCAAGGATTTGTCTTCAGAAGAAGAAGAATCGTTCAACAGACGCTCTATTCTCTCAGCAACGGCTGGGGGCACTCTCAGTATAAATTGCTCCTCCATATCCTTTCCTTCGTTTCTTAGCAAGACTTACTATTATTATCAGTAAAAGATCCAAACATGTGAAAATGTTGGAATCCACAACAATCACAAACCATATAGATGATAGATAAGGACACTATACACAGGTAACAGTAGTGCAAACAATAATTTGTTAATTATTCAAGCACCAAATCAGCTACCAATTTCTTTTCCAATATTTAGAAGTTAGAACCCATTTCAACAGGAAGAAGAATGTATTTGACCTTCAGACACTGTTCTATACAAAATAGAATCCATCAATTCAGTTTTTTCAAATTATAGAGAAACATTACAGGCTTTGCAAATTACATCACTAAAAAGAAAAGACTACTATCATCAACCGAATTTCTTCAACCCAACCTCATATGGTGCTATTATCTTAAGTCGTGAGAAAAGTATACCAAACACAAATAAATCAGCAGGAGAACCTCAACATGTGCATACAGTAATGCAGAACTCTACACAATTCAGTTGGCCCATGTTATATAGATATCTTACACAGGGCCAATCCTGATAGAGTTAAGGATGAAAGCAAACGAAAATAAGAGATACTTGATATCTTAAAAACAACTCGGGACGAATCCCGCCCAGCCTAAGGCCGATACTTCAGAAAGAAACTTTATGCCCAAGGTTAAAGCCGACAATCCTATTCAACAAAAGATACACTAGGCATCAATATTTGTCAACTTAAATAGAGTCCTAAACCTAATTATAACTCTAAACTCTAAGCCAATGGGCCTAAAAGCTCATTATTGAAATTAATGAAATAACAATAGATCTCTCACAGGCAGAGTTCAAAAAATTGGGCTCCAAATTAATCACGTAAAGATAAAACTTTATTCGTATTATCATCAAAATCCATTAAAATCTAGAGTTGTAAATGCTAATCAAATGTTCACAATCTACTTATCTAACCATTTCTTTTTTAAAAACAACTTTTTCAAACCATTCAGTCTCCACAAAGCTAGAAAAAAAATATTTTACATATTACCCAATAACCAATTAATCATCCCAAAATACAAGTTTATGATTTATAAGTCATAAAAAAATGAGTCCAGCGCAAGTTCATGTCAAGCTAAAAAAATCTCTCTTTACATTATTATAAAAAAAAAAAAGATGAATTTTTGATTTGGGAATTAAAAATAAAAAACACTCCAAACATCTTATAAACATAAAGCATATGAAAAGCATAAATCTCCCCTTGACCAGACTGTATTTATGACAAATTAGCGTCTCGAATAGCATCTTCAGGACAACAACCATTTTAGTTGAACAGGAAATCTGAAAGCACAGAAGACTTCAAAGAAGAAATTAAAAAAAAAAAAAAAAAAATACTGAATACATTGGAAAATTCGACTTCAAATATTTTCTATTTTTTTCTATTGATTGATTTGACACTCAAAAATTCAAGATTGTAGCTTCGGTACAATGCGTAACAACACCAGGAGGTATAGTTAAAGGATTAATTAATACTTGGAAAAGTCTAAATAACAAATCACTATAAGGACTACCCCTCCGTAAGTAAGCAATTTGCACAGAGGCAATTAAACTAAGGAATAACGGTTCAGGTCACAGCATAAAGCTTTATAGCGGACTTTTTCGGCAATGATTTCACATCGGAATTCAAATTTCGATTTGCGCCGGTAGGAAAAGAAGATAATATAATCTAACGTGATGATGATGAGTAAAAGAAAAACCAATACCGTATTACCGTAATAGGAAGGAAGAACAGGTGAAAAAAACGCAGAATTAGAGTCAACTTACCGATAATTCTTGCAAGAGTAGATCCGCAGTGAAGAGACGACGAAGATTTTTTAGGGATTTAGGCTGAAATGACTCCCAAATTATAAGACATTTTCTTGTTGGAGGGAGCCACCCCCATTTTGGGCCTTGTGAAAAAAATAAAATAAATAAATAAAAAACAATAAAAAATAATCATTTTTACTTCACAGGTATCGACTTTCGAATTAATCCGTTAGACAAATTCCGGATACTTTAGGGGCTCGTTTACTTTGTGAGATAGGATAAGACTAAATAATCAGGTTAACTTTACATGTCAGCATTTAGTCCCTGTTTACTTTGAGGAATTGACTTTTGAGAAACAAATCCCTCATTTACTTCACTGGATTAAATGAGATGTTAGACCGGGAAATCCCTAATATACCCTTCTGTACAGCCAAATATAGGAAGTAAAACAACAGGTATCCAAATATCCAAAAATCTAAGGCAAAACATAGATTTGTAAATGAAAGCATACAGTACGAACTCCATCTTCAAAATAATTATGCACATCCACACAAAATGCACATTGAACAAGATCTATGTGTGAAGTGTAAACTCATTTTTCCACAAACACACGGCAGAGCAAATGAAGGTATATGTGCAATACCATACTCAGTCGGATAAACATGGTGCAGTTCAAAAAACACATTGTTGGGGAAAAAAAACTATAAACCCGAAACTATCGGCAGCCTGCTACAACTCGAGGAACACCATTAATCTTCACAAATTTCGAGCTTACCTTGCGTCCCGACGGAAAAACCGAAGAAATATGGTTTGTTCCCCCACCCGTGCTTGTCTCTACAAAAACTAGGACATAGTGCCCCGTTTTCAAACAAATTAGAATTACGATTCAAAATGTTAAATATGCCCAAAATGAAATAAAAAAAAAAAAAAAAAAAGAGTGGTATAAACATTGCAATGATCCGTTTATCCCCAGAAGAAATAGAGTTAAATAGAGCAGGAAGAAAACAAATAAAATTATTTGCATTCTGAACAACATCAATATCTGGCATCTGCATCACCATATTAACGGGAGAATTTAGCCGAGTTTGGGTTTCTAACTTTAATAACAGAATATTCAAATGTATACACACCACAATACACAATTAATTTCAAATTATTAGAGATATTTGTACATACTCTTGGACCAAACACGGCAGCATAAAATTCAAGAATCACAATGCACGAGTACCAGCAATTACCATAAACAAATTACTCAAGAAAGACGCATAAAATTCATGTCTTTACACAGATAAACATAAATTGAGTACCTATGTGCTTACACCATAACCAGAAAAGAAATACCAAACACCTCCTCCAACCCAACACAAACCCTCATCAAAGAGAAAATCCAAACAAAAACAGAAGAAAAGAAAATGAGCGTTAACAGTTTAAATGGGTTTACCGTCTGACGAAATTTCTCGATACTGTTGCTGCGATTGTGTAGAGAATTTCTAGCCTTTACCGATTTATTTATGATATTTTCAGCCAACGCAGAACAATATATTTCTTCGATGTATCAACCCGATATTTCGACAAATATTTTGTAGCAATGATTTTACAGAAGATTACTTCGAACATGGAGCTTACCTATCGCTGGAATTACAGAAGATTGCTTCTTCCTCCTCTACCCCTCGTCGCTGCGCAAGAATTAGGGCAAACACCGGTTTCATCAATTTTATATGGGACAAATTTGTAATAATGTTGTCAATTGGGGCTAATCTGGTATTTTGGCAGCAAAAAGTGAGGGCAAAATGGGTACCAGATTTTTGGGATTAAGTTATCCATGGGGTAGGCCGGATTTTTTTATCAGCTTGTTGGGGATAAACAAGAGGACCACGCCTGCCACATAGGCGCCACGTCGTCAAAATCCTATCCAAATCCTTGTAAGTAAACAGCGGAAATTCCAGGATTATTTTCTTATCTAATCATGTCCTTCAAAGTAAACGAGCCCCAAGAGGATTATCCCTGATTGTTGTAGGTAAACAATTCGCGCAGAGGTAATCAAACCAAGTGATAAGAGATCAGGTCACAATTTCATATCTGACTTTCTCGACAATGATTTCACATCAGAATCTAAATTTCGATTTGCGCAGGTAGGAAAAGAAGATAATATAATCTATAACGTGATGATGATGATGAGTGAAAGGAAAATCAATACCGTATTACCGAAATACTAAGGAAGAACAGATGAAACAAAGCGCAGAATTTGAGGAAACTTACCGATAATTCACGCAAGAATTGATCCACAACGAAGAGACGACGAAGCTTTTTTAGGGATTTACTGAAACGATTCCCAAATTATAAAACCTTTTCTTGGAGGGGGCGACACCCAGTTTGGGCCTTGTGAACGAAATGTTGGGCCGTTCTTGAGAAGCCCATATCTATACTAGCGCGAAAATAGAGGGAAAAATCTATTGTCTCTTATCTAATATAAAGATGTTTGGCACTGTAGCATAAATCTAGGTAAAATGGAGATCCACCGGCAAATCCATCGGCGGGAGATACACTCTCGATAGATCAGTGGTTCATACACATATATTAATTATAGAATCCAATGATTATAAGAAATAAAAGTATAGCAAGTTTAGCAACACCCCCTCAGTTTGATAAATGTCGGTTATGCAAGTGCTCACGATAGGCTTGAGGGCTCAACTCCTTAGAAACCTAAAATTGTACGAGAGAATTATCATTAATAAATTATCTTATTACTCGGAAGAATTATTGAGATTATCTCCCATAATCAAAAAATTAATGATTAAGCACTTTATGAAATTTTCTTGTGGAACTTGACCTCTCGGTTTAAGGAAAAAGACTTGGAAAACGTTCACAAGGCTAAAATATGATTTCGCTACGAACAAACTGGTCGAACGGCTTAAAAATGGTTCAACGGCTCGGGGTTAGTGCGCTGTCACCCGAGAGGCGGCACGCTCGCTAGCGCTGCTTACGCAGAGTGCTGGATCGCGCGCGCACCTGCTCGGAGACCCGCTATTGGTCGAGGTCTGGCAGCACTCACTTGCTTGGGGAGTTTGCGGGTTCAATGATGGCGGTTGCGGCTCTTGTGCGAGTCGACATTGGTCCCGTGTGTGGCCTCGCGTCTCTCCGCGCGAACGTGCGTGCTCGGATATTAATTGTAAAACTTGCATACGAATCAATATAATACTTTATGACATAAGTTGTAATAAATAATATATATTTTATTTTTATGAGTTGAAAATATACTGAAGTCATGTGTAACCAAAAATATTGGGGCAAAAGTGTCCAACAATTATTATAACTAAAATATGCTAAAATCATGTTAAAAACCCGAGTTTCCAAAATAAAAAATAAAAAGTGATTGCAGATATGAATGTACATTACAGTACATTGAAAATTAAAATAAATGAAAAATATAATATATGCGTGTAACCGAAAAATCTGGGGAAACGACAAGAGTTTAATTAAAAACTCTGGAGATACACAAACTACACACCAAGCTTTTATTAATGATATTGACACATAGCACGCATTAACCTCGTCATAAACTTAACAACAGTTTTGCATGTGATCAAATCAGCTTTGGTTCACATAGAGTCATCAGTCTCATCTGAATCACTCCCATCAGAGTCAGGCTCCCCACCTACCATTCCAGTTTCAGGCACATCTGGCTTTGCTGAAGATGTTGAAACCACATTCTTACCAGTATTAGTGGCATCAAACTCTTCTGGTGCCATTTCAGCAGGTAATTAATCAGTCAAGGACCATTGAAAACTATATTCAAATTATGCGTTTATGCAATAGAAAAACCGTAACACACAGGTCATGTGAAACGATTGGACTACAATGCTAAAAAGAGAAGCAGCTAATGACAAGATTTAATGGGATCTTATACCTAATAAACAAGACCTTTTTTTGCATGGAGATGTATTATAAGAGAAAGTGCATTTTTGTTATCCACCCACATCGGAGATAGAGAGACATATACACACATGAAGAGTAGCAAAATAAAAGGATATCAATATTCTCAGCTGTTCCACCAGCCATGATGTTTTGCAAATCTTTCTCGACACGACGGACAAGCTCCGGCTGCCAAACAACACAATATCGCTAATAAGTGTACTCGTAGATTATAAAATATATGTATCACAAATAAACATCACGCATTCGTAGACGTTAATAAATGGAAATCTTATGTTACATTTAAGTCAGGCTCCCGCCTAAATCTTCGCCTTCGAGCATCCCTCATTGGTGGAGTAAGCCCATGCCTGTACTCCCCTGTTTCTGCACTGTCACCCTCCTCTCTCACCATTATCATCTATCACGACTTTAAACTGTTTAACTTGACCTTAGCGAATACAAATATCTAGGAAAATTTGAACAATTATGTAACATACTACCTGGCCAATATCTGCAGTTTTGATCAACACATTGTCGTCATATGTTTTGTAAGACTCTACAACAGTGGGAAGATCCAAGAGGGATGCGGAGAAACTGTCATTCCCGATTACGAATTTGCCAGTCCTTCCATCATCTATAACAAAATAAATAAATAAAATGTAAAAAGGTGCAACAAAAGTCAGAAGAACGAGAACAAACTGGTGATATTTAAGCGCATGAACACTGAAGTATTGATAGAACATAAGTAATCACTATGTGAGGTAAACTTTGAATGTTCAAAGCGAAAAATCAGCATATCACCAGAAAATGACAAGTCCAAGGATTTGTCTTCAGAAGAAGAAGAATCGTTCAACAGACGCTCTATTCTCTCGGCAACTGCTGGGGGCACTCTCAGTATAAATTGCTCCTCCATATCCTTTCCTTCGTTTCTTAGCAAGACTTACTATTATTATCAGTAAAAGATCCAAACATGTGAAAATGTTGGAATCCACAACAATCACAAACCAGATAGATGATAGATAAGGACACTATACACAGGTAACAGTAGTGCAAACAATAATTTGTTAATTATTCAAGCACCAAATCAGCTACCAATTTCTTTTCCAATATTTAGAAGTTAGAACCCATTTCAACGGGAAGAAGAATGTATTTGACCTTCAGACACTGTTGTATACAAAATAGAATCCATAAATTCAGTCTTTTCAAATTATAGAGAAACATTACAGGCTTTGCAAATTACATCACTAAAAAGAAAAGACTACTATCATCAACCGAATTTCTTCAACCCAACCTCATATGGTGCTATTATCTTAAGTCGTGAGAAAAGTATACCAAACACAAATAAAATAGAAGGAAAATAAAAAAATCGGAAACTGAAAAAAAAAATAAAAAAATAAAGCTTTCTTTCCATACTTTCAGTTTCCTTCCATTCACTTATTCACATCATTAATCATCAATTATGAAATGAAGGAAAAAAAAAATGCCCTAAATCTGAAACTGAAAATAAAGGAAGAAAAAAGAACTTACTAGTGATTGAGAGCCGCCTTGCCGGAGCTGGAGTCGCCGGTCGCCGAATCTTGAGTCGCCGGTCGCCGGAGGGTTGGGTCAGTAGAGAGCGCACGGTAGCAACAGATAGGAGAGTTTGAGGAGGGTAGGGTTTTTGTGTTTTAGGAAGAGACAGCCGATTCGTATGTATTATCTGTTATAAAGTTTAATTTTTCCATTTTTTTTTAGTACTTGGGCCTGTAAAAAAGGCCCAATTTAGTTTTACACTAAAATTGGCCCAGATTTCCGCCATTTCACGTCATAGGCGCCATACCGCCATGACCGCCATGTCCATGGCGGGTGCCATGGCGCCGCCATTACAAATCAGCCATATAACGGATAACGGATGGCGGAAAAACCAAAAACCGCCACGCCGGCGGAAATTTAATAACACTGAGCATATGAAAAGCATAAATCTCCCCTTTACCAGACTGTATTTATGACAAATTAGCATCTCGAATAGCATCTTCAGGACAACAACCATTTTAGTTGAACAGGAAATCTGAAAGCACAGAAGACTTCAAAGAAGAAATTTAAAAAAAAAAAGTTGAATACATTGGAAAATTCGACTTCAAATATTTTCTATTTTTTTCTATTGATTGATTTGACACTCAAAAATTCAAGATTGAAGCTTCGGTACAATGCGTAACAACACCAGGAGGTATAGTTAAAGGATTAATTAATACTTGGAAAAGTCTAAATAACAAATCACTATCAGGACTACCCCTCAGGTCACAGCATAAAGTTTTATAGAGGACTTTTTCGGCAATGATTTCACATCGGAATTCAAATTTCGATTTGCGCCGGTAGGAAAAGAAGATAATATAATCTAACGTGATGATGATGAGTAAAAGAAAAACCTATATTACCGCAATAGGAAGGAAGAACAGGTGAAAAAAACGCAGAATTAGAGTCAACTTACCGATAATTCTTGCAAGAGTAGATCCACGGTGAAGAGACGACGAAGCTTTTTTAGGGATTTAGGCTGAAATGATTCCCAAATTATAAGACATTTTCTTGTTGGAGGGAGCCACCCCATTTTGGGCCTTGTGAAAAAAAAAATAATAATAAAAAATCATTTTTACTTCGTAGGTATCGACTTTCGAATTGGTTATATCATTTTTAGACAAATTCCGGATACTTTAGGTCGCAATTGGTTATATAATTTTTTATTTTTTATTTTTTTGTCTGAACGGGTGATCAAAGTAAAAAATCATAAAATTATTTTCTATAATATCTCATATTTTTCTCTTCAATTCCACTAAAATATTCAAATCATAATATTTATTATTGTGTATTCTAATAAAACTATTATTCATTAACTTAGATATTTCTGACTATAAATTTTACTAATTACTAGTTTATTATTTTTTATATTATATTTATTTTATAATCACTCACAAACATATTTATCTCACCATTTGAAAAAAATAATGTTTTGTACTTTTTCATCTCTATTCTTGAATAGACAAATTGTTTGTCAAGAAAATCCACCAACTCTCCTAAACTAATTAATAATTTTGCCAAGAAAAAAAATAATTTTTTGTACTTTTTTCATCTCTATTCTTGAATAGACAAATTGTTTGCCAAGAAAATCCACCAACTGTTGGCTCCGTTATGGAGCCAACAGCCAATGGGACAGCTTCATGTGGGGGTGTCCCATATTGGAGCCATGTGAGACAGCCCCACATGGAGCTGTCCCATTGGCTGTTGGCTCCATAACGGAGCCAACAGTTGGCTCCTTAGCATTACTGAATAATTTCGATTGTTTTACAAATTGCCCTAAGATCTTTGTTTGGTAGTGTAAACGACCTCAATTTGGTTCAACGCCTCTTTAATCATGCTTAAAATCGCTGGAATTACCTGCAAAACAGTGTCGAGGGTTGTCTTGGTGTAGAAGTTCCGACACTCAAGTCAGTAAACAAGGATGAAGATGAACTATATACAAATGTATTTGTATTTAGAATACTCAAAGTGTGTAGAGTGATGATGATCATATTTTGTTGTCCAAGATCTTGCAAATCTAATTGCTCGAGCCCGAACTACCCAATCACACTGCCCGAGTGCCCGAACTGCTCAATTCTATTAGCCGCATACACCTATCCACATGACCTTATCCTAATTATATTCGCTTTTATCCGTTATCTTGTGTGTTCACACTAGTCTACCTCATTAGGTAGTTGCTTTTAAGCATAATTGTGTTGTCAGTTCAATTCCCTTGAACTGGGTAGTTCTGGTCTTCAATGACTAAGTTCGCTTTTTAGGTCTTACATCGACCTCTTCACTTTACAGGTTGAGTTTCCATTAGGCTAACCAAGAGTTCTAGCTCAACTTGTTGTTGAACTGCTCTACCTTCGGAGATTATCATCGACCTGATACTCTAGTGACCTCGAGTCTTCTTATTGTACATCCTCTGGTCAACCTACCGATCCACTTGAACCGCTCTTGTTGCTGTCATACATGACCTAACGGATGACATGTAGTATCCATTATCATAGCCCATTCCCATTTTAATATTTATTAAAAATGTATTTGTGTAACACATAAAATATATATATATATAACAGAGCTTTACCCTCCTAATTATACGTTTTTTTTTTCTTTTTTTTTTTTCAAATTTTACTGAGTATGATGTGGCAACTTGGGAACGGGAGGCTGACGAGGGCAAGGTGAGTGAAAACGGGAATACTGATGAAAAGGAGGTGACAGAAAGAGCCTCTGAGGATGATGGGTTTGTTTCTAAGAAGGTTCCTGATGTTTTTCGTGTGGATGATGCCACTGTACCATCCGTTGCTAGAGAAAATCATTTGAATGGTACAGGCATTGACGAGAAAGGAAATTTAGATGCGGAAAATGGTCCGGAAGGCCAAAATGGCATGATGAAGTCTGTTGTTGGATTTGATTTGCAACAAGACGGCGAGGATGATGATTTTGCTGATCCACAGGACGCAATGAGTGTTAGGAGCGTTGGTGAAAGTGAGTGTGTTGATGGAGCCGAACGGTCCCTAAATTTGAGCACACCATTAGCTGAGTTCTATGATGCTTGGGAAGGTACCTCCATTTGCTATTTAATTTTTTGACTTGTTTGTGTTGCAGTGAAATCAGACTGTTGTCATAATTTTTCTAGTTATTTCACAAAACCTGAAACACCATCCAAGTTATTCTTTTATTATCTCGAGATATGCCTTTCATGACTTATTGTCATCTCATGCCTCAGAATTATCATCAGAGAGCGGCCCTCAGCTTAAGATTCCCGATATCGAGAGTGAGTTGCGTGAAATAAGGCTAAGTTTATTGATGGAGATAGAAAAGAGGAAACAAGCTGAAGAGACCTTATGTAATATGCGAAACCAGTGGCAGAAGATCCGTGAAAAATTATCTCTTCTGGGTTTGACACTCCCTGAAGATCTAACAACTTGTTTGCTAGAGGGAGAACAACATGCCGATCCTGCTGAGGAGATCTGGCAACAAGTCTATATTGCCCGGTTTGTTGCTAACTCAATTGGGAAGGGAATCGCAAAGGCTGAGGCTGAAATGGAGATGGAAGCTCAGATAAAGTTGAAGAACTTTGAAGTAGCTCGTTTGTGGGATAGGCATTGTTATTATAAAGCCGTGAACCAAGAGATGTCCCAGAGGAACCAAGAAGTTGTAGGTGTGTTTTCTAAAGCATGTCTTTTAAATCAGTTATGTAAGCATGCATGGTGCACGTTTATCATACTTTCTTCTAAATTTTAATGCCACAAGGAAATTAAATCGAGATGGTCTGTCATAGTCGATGATTTGTTTAGGTTCTATTTTCTATTTTAAAGAATAAATGAATCAGTTATTAATTACTTTCATTTTTCTTTTGCTTTTAAAATTCAATCATTAGTTTAATTTGGTTTTGTTATACTCCGTATCCTCAGTAGATTTTGTAGAGCTTGATATTGTTACTTGAAGATGTTGTCCATTTCTTCTTAAAGTTCAATTCCTAGTTCTGCTGTATCCACAGTCTTATTCGAAAGATTCTTTTGATTGTTTAATGATGTTTCACTGCATTATCCTCCTTAGATGAGTGTCACTGGGAGGCTTCTCTCTTGGTGATACATTTGAATTCTGACATTGTAATTTTCTTATTTCTTTTATAAATATTGTCTATACTATATACAAATTGCATACTGCTTGTTCTCTCTTTTTAGTAGTGGCAAAAATTCTCATTTTGTCCTTCTTTTTTAATCTCTCTGCAGAGGAGACGAGGCGACTTAGGCAAATAAGGAAGAGAAGACAGAAATGGATTTGGGGTTCTATTGCCACTGCAGTTACACTTGGTTCTGCTGTCTTTGCCTACTCTTATTTACACAGTGGAAAAACATCCGAAATCCCGTTGCATACAACTGTGTCAGACAATTCTGTGACATAGAATAGTGATACATAATGAAGTATCCTTACAACATAGAAAGAAATGACAAAAAAGGAAGTTCTATACTACGTTTGTGAATAAATACGAACAGTCTTTTTAACCTTTTTTGGCTTTCCCTTCTAGGAAGAGATTTCAGGATGTGTAAATTCAATTAAAAGCATAGTACTACAAGACAGGTAGAAGTTTGAGATGTCAAAACCTATGTTTGCTTGTACATACGCCCTATGGCTATGGCTATGGGAGGTTAAGTTGTAGTGACCTATAGCTTAAGCAATATATCCTCTCTCTTACGAAAAGATTAAAAATTGTTATGCATTTTCTCTGGGCGTTGATGGGGCAATTATTTTTACTTTGTTATGATTCTCTGGTCTCTCGGACGAGTCACTACTTTGCAATCCCCATTTTTTGTGAGACCATGAGCTTGTGTTTGTGACATATAGTTCTATGTTTCCCGCTGAAACTTCTTTTATGGTGCTTAAATCTTCTCTTTTGGCGTGGACCAAATTACATTTGTACCCAGCTGAAAGTTTTAAGAGAAGGTGACAAGCAGATTGAACCTTTTGCACCAATGAGTTCCTGTTCACTTCTTTTCTTCTTCGTTTTCCTTTCACCCGCAGAAATGATTCACTGTAGATGTAAGTGGAATTGCCGAAGAGGCTTGTTATGGATGCTTACGAGCTTATGTATATTATAAGATTTTCTTGAAGCTCGTAGGTTGGCATAAGAAAAAGGAGACCTTGAAATACATGAGAAATGAAATTACATGATACAGCTGTGTAGGCTAAAAGTGCATGTGCCAAATTAGTAATAGAAAAGACCCATCTGGTTTTATAGAAAGAAGCTTTTAGAGAGAGAATGACATGCTGCACCATTTTAATAGTAACTTGTAAGCTTTTGGAGAAGTTTATGAAAAAGATATGATTTTCGAGAGAAGATGGCATCCTCCATTTTAACAACATGAGCATTTGGAGAAGCTTATTAATAAGTTCTGAAATGCTTACACCCTCAACCTAACACCTTTTACCATCCTTCCTTCCAGGTTATAATTTGACCATTTAATTTTCACTTTTTGAACTTCTCAATTGCTTCTATCATGCGTCCTGCTATCTTGACCGTTCATTGAAACAATAGCCTGCATCTGAATTACCAGATCATTTCATCCATGCAATTAGGCATTCATCCCACAACACAACATCAATCTTCACAACAAATCACATTCTTCCATAACGAGTCCTCATTTGCCGAGTAACAGAATCCATCTACGATACCACAGAGCCCCACAAGACTAAGTTCGAATCACGGCACAACTCAACAATTCAACTGCTCGAAATACACAAGTGCAATCTAAAACAGAATCACCAAAAATCAAAACGAAAATCATATAATAAATCCACATTTCAAACCAACGGATGTAAAGAAAAACGAAAGTTACTAGCAGAGTCAAAAGTTCTCCAAAATCCCACAACACACAGAGCCCCCCCCTCAAGCCATTATTTTAGCCGACCTTGCATAAAGACTGTCCACGACCTTCTCCATGTTCGCGATCGTCTCCAAAGTCGCCGGATAAATCTCGTCCGTCTTCGGATCATCAAGTATGATCAAACACCCTGCCCCCTGGTCCAGGGTACCCGCAAACTTCTTGTCCAGGATCATCTGCGACAGCTTCTTCTCCACATGCTGACCTGACAGCTCAATCAGCTCAGCCACGTGTGCAATCTCCACTCTCGAGAAGGGCTCGATCAGCCTGCACAGGTTCTGCTCAAGAAGTGTATCGTACAGCGACGAGAGGTGCCTGTGAACGATCGGGTCCTCATCCAGCTGGCACCTGAAATCACGCAAGGCCGTTTCAAAGAGCTTCAGCGAACGCTTGGCGTGGGCCCCGGCCACAGCCTTCATAGCGTCCAGCTCAGGCCCCTGATACTGCAACCCCACCTTTGGTGACGATATGATCCCCGCCACGTCATCAGCCTGGCCCACCATGATCTTGCACAGCAGCATGTACTTGAGGCTGTAGATGGCCTGCGGGTCCTCGAGGGCGTTGAAAGCCTCGAAAGCCTCGAAAAAGTAGCTGTAAGCCGTCTTGTAGTCCTTTTCCTCTGCGTGGAGGATCCCGCTCTGCAAGTCGATCGTTCCCTGCTGAGCTGGAGGCACGTAGATCGCGTTCGCTGCCGTGCGGGCCGCGGTCAGCGAGGCTTTCGCTTTCGGGAGGTTTCGTAACGAGAAATGGAGCTTGCTCTCGAGGAGGTCGATTTCGACGAGCCCTAATAAGATTGAGTAAATCGTCTTAAAATTATCGGCCCGCACTAGTAAACAAATAAATCGATTAATGGCTCGTTTTGATAGCTCGGCATTGCCACCTACTATAATTCATAGATTCTCTCTCCATTCTTCCCCTTCCCCTTCCCCCTCCCCCTTTTTCACTCGAGAAGAAGGAAAAGTAAAAACCTCTGCAAACACATCACACAAAAGCACACATTAATGGGCAGTTGTTTCACAATCAACAGGTGATTCGTGGGGTCTGTGTTGATTTCGAATCAGATCTCTAACATCCTCTCAGTCGCTGTAATTTTCTCGGCCCACGACCTTTCCTTTTTTTTTTTTGTCTTTTTTTTTGTGCGTAAATTACAATTTCTTGGGCTTAGATGTGCTGAGCTTTCCTTTAATTGGTGCGTCCTGTGGGTTGATCTTCAGTTCCAGTCCCATGATTTGATTTTTATTGCTAATGTTTTATAAATGTTCTTAGCTATGGAATGCTAATTTTGTATCCGCAAATCTTTTAATTCTAGGCTTTTATTAAACAATTTATTCGTGGGTTTTGGCGTTTGGATTGTTTGGACCTCTCTTTACATAGTATTTTGGGGATAACAAAGTAAAAGATTCAAAATTTACTACCTTTTTGTTTTCCTGGTAGCTGAAAGCTGCAAATTTACGCCTGTCTTGTTGAAAGTTTAGTTTCTCTATGTTTCTTTGGCTTATGCAGCTCTGGCTGTATCTGTGGCGTATCCAAGGATCTGCTAATAGAGTGTAAAATGGGACGGAATTCATAATATTCTTTGATTTGAATGAATAGATTAAAAAGTATCTTCATATGCACGTGCTAGTAGTTTTTTTATGTGAAGAGAATGCTCATAAAAAAGAACAGGAGAAAAGAAAGAAAACTGGAATTAGTACATTGATTCTTTGTATTTTGTGCAAATTTTTGAGCCGTATGCATCGAGATGTGTGTCACGGTTTTTAAGGGATACAGTTTTATCCGGCCCTAACTAACTGATGCTATCTAGAAAGATTACATTTTTAGGCCAAGAAGTTGATAATAGGCTTGCAGTATGCAAAATATATGTGCTGATTATTATTATTTTTTTTTTTNGTCCGATTCTAGACAAAGCTCACTCTGATTTTGGTTTTGGAAAAGGTTGAATTTCCTTGTGTCGTCAATGCACACACAAGAGTTTACATTCCTCAGAAAGGAAGATGCTTTATCATGCTCGCAACTATCTTTGACTCAACGGGAATCATGTGAATGTCTATAAAGATTTGGGACACTTTTTCTATGTCGTTTTTTTTGTTGTTATATCATGAATGAGGTCCCTGGCTATTGTACTTACAGTTGCTCACTTTCTAATAAGTTGCTACAATCTCTCTATCTCTCTCTCCCTCTGTGTGTGTGTGTGTTGCAACCTGAAGTTCATATCTTAATGAGAGAAGCAAGACATGTTGATTATTTGGAAGATCATGACCAATCGAACATAAATTTATACTTTCTTGGGCCATAATTTGATTGCCTGTCCCAAGGTCTTGAGTAACTGTTTAATCTCAGTTCTTGTCAAGTTGGGGGCCGTTTATTATTGATTATGAAGGAATCTAGAGGAAGCAGTAGATAACCTGAGGTCGACCTTGTAGGATAACTTATTTGCCAAACACTGGATTAGAGCACATGACATCTTTTTAAAACCCTGCTTATGTATTAATGATCTTATTCGTGGGATTTAGGTGATATCGAATACGATGCAGCCACAATCACTAAAACTCACCATCAAATTGAAGATTGACAATTCTGGCAACAACTCTTCGCCAAATGTTGACGGCCCGAGTAATGTAGCCCGAGAACCCGATGACTCGAGTAGTTTTAATCCTCTGAACAACCCGTCAACGAACTCCAAAGATGAAGAAGTGGATTTAAGTTGTACAGACGTACGAGAAAATCACTGCACAGAAGATAAAGAGCAAAACGAAATTTCTAAGTATCAGCTGGTGGTTTATGATCCGAGTATAAATGGTTCTACTAATGGAAGCGTTGAAACTAGTGCTTCTCGAGACTCCATTGTTCGTCGGGCTTCAAGAGCTCATCCGTTTGCATCTGTGGGGGCCTTCACTGTTCAATGCTCTAACTGTTTCAAGTGGAGGGTCCTCCCAACAAAGGAGAAGTATGAGGAAATAAGAGAGCATATTACTGAACAGCCTTTTTTTTGTGAAACGGGCCGCGAGTGGAGGCCCGAGATTTCATGTGATGACCCGCCTGATATAACACAAGATGGGAGTAGGCTTTGGGCGATTGACAAACCGAACATTGCTCAACCACCGCCAGGCTGGCAACGACTCCTGAGAATCAGAGCTGAAGGAGGCTCCAAGTTTGCTGATGTGTATGTATTTCTGGTTATGCTTAGTTGTCTTCTATATACGTGCTGTTTGTCCAAGTGGATTTTGAGGTTGCATTGGATACATTTGAAATTTTCGGAAAAAAAAAATAAATTGTTTTAGTAGTGTATTGATGGGAATATTTTTGAAAGCAAAGCATGAATATTGAGTGTGTAAATGATTATGGTGTGTGATATTAATAGTGAATGCAAATGTAATACTGAAAATGATAGAATGATTGGTGTTAGAAGTTATATTTGTCTCATCTCGATTAGTTAGTGGGATTTTATTTTGTATAAGTGTGGATTTGGTCACTCTCTCAATTTTTTAGCTGGCTTTTTGGGGATGAATCATATACCTAGGCTCATTAATCAATTGGTCAATAGATGAATGGATTGCGGGTGAAAGATTTTTTATTTTTTTATTTTTTTTTCTTTTAAGTGTAGTTGTGATTGGCTGAGAAAATCGATTGAATGAATGTTGTGTCGTGTGAGAGTTTCGGTAGAGAAAGGCTTATTATGACAAAAGGAATTGCAAGGCCATGCAAACATAACCTGAGAAGATGATCTATTCTCGGAAACCTTTTTATTTCTCAAATTCCCTCATTAAATTGTTTTATCAAAGGTGTCCATTTATTTATTTGCTTCTTTTTGAATCTTTCTACAGTGTCCATTTATTTATTTGCTTCTTTTGTGAATCTTTTTACAGGTATTATGCTTCACCATCGGGCAAGAAACTCCGATCAATGGTTGAAGTTCAAAGGTATATTTATTTCTTCATGATGTATTTTGGATCAATATTTTTCTCACATTTTATTTCTGGGATTTCGTGATGTTCTCTATCAAAGGTACCTTAATGAGCACCCAGAGTACATTAAAGAAGGGGTTAGCTTGTCTCGATTTTCCTTCCAAACCCCAAAACCTTTGCGCGACAACTATTTGCGAAAACGTCCTGCTCAAGATGCACTTAATAATGATACCGGTGCTAATGGGATTTCACAAGGTAACCTCAAATTATACTTCAATTTTTTTAAACATTTAAGAACTTTCTTTTTTAACTTAAATTGAAAACCGATTCATGTACGTCACTTTTCAAGTGTGAGTAAGTCCTTGCACGCGTGTTTGTGAATCTTCGGGAAAAAGGTAAAGGAAAATTCTAATACCGTAGTTAATTTCTACTCGGTTTTTCTCAACCAGTTCAATATCCTACGACTTGGAAGCCACACACATGTATCTCTATGCAAGTTTCATTGAATTCCATGTAATTTTGTCGAGCAAAGAGAGAATTTGAGCTCTTTTTTCAAATCTTTTCGTTCTTGCAAACTTATATTATAACTCGATCCTTCCTATATCATCACTTTTCTTCCTATTAATGCAATTTTTATTAATTTTCTGCAGTTCAACCCATATCATGGGTTGGTCCTGAAGTCGACAAGGACCTTCAGCTCAGTGGGCCCGGGCCCGACTATTCAAAGTCTCGTGGTTCGAACCCTGAATTTAGATCGACAAAGAAGAAAGGCCTGAAAAGGGCCTTGTCTGAACAAAGTTGCAATGCTGATTTGGGTGAGTCTTGTGAGCTTTGAATCTGGTGTTTGTTGTAGTTGCTCGATATCTTTGTAATCGTTTGAAGCTTTTCGGCAAATTTTGCATTCTATAGTCTGATGTAGTCTTTTGTATAAATTATGATTTTGAATCTGCTCTGAGTATTGTTGTATGTTGCAACTGTTGGAACCTACCTTCATCTGTTGAGCTCCATATTCTTGTCTGATACTTTCAGTACATTATATGTATTTTTATATCTACACAAATGTGTGTGCTTCAAAATTTCATATGTATAAAATAAAAATAATCAAAAATATAATATTTGAATTTAAAAATATTATATATATATTTTTTTTCACATACACAACTAGAAAATCATCAAACTATAATAGTAATATATTTCAATAGAATTTCAACGGTAATTCAAATGTTTGTAAATTCAATTAAAAATTTCACTGGAAAATTCTATGAAAATGTTTCGTTTGAATCCGCTATTGTAAATTGTTTGTCAATAATTCGAACAACATTCCAATAGGTTGAAATTTTGATGATTCAAGCAATATTTTTTTCCAAATGGTTTGAATTATTGACAACAATTCAATGAAAATTGCATATTCTAATTAGGAATTCTTAAAAAATTATTTCCAACCAAAGATTTTTGTGTGGTTGGAATTATTGACAAACAATTTGATGAAAAATGCATATTCCAATAGATATTCTTGAAAAACTATTTCCAACCAAAGATTTTTATGTTGACTTTCATTGGACAGTTGGAATTTTTCAATAGAAATAATAGCATTAAAATTTCTGTTGAAATACTTTTTCGATAGAATTTCTTAGTAATATGACATGTATATATACATCTAAATAGTAGAATTTTCAAATAAACGTTCATGTCGTTTACAACCAAAGTCCAAAGGTATTTATTTGAGATTTCAAAATATCTTAAGAAATCAAAAAATGTTCAATTTATTTGTCACTTATATTTTCTGAAGTTTACAAGACGTATTGTGTTTGTCCAATTTTTGTTGCGTTTTTCGTTCTCATTTTGCCTTTCTTTTTCCCCCATGTTAGGTCTTTTAGTTGGTTTTTTGTTCGTTTTATAGTTTATTTCGTGGTTTGCTCTGTTTTTGTCTTTCTTGTGTTTTTCGGTCGTTTTTCAATTTTTTGTCGTCGTTGGTGTGCAAGTCGGGAGTCTATGGAGGATAGGATAATAGGAAAACATTAGTCGAGACAAGGTAATTAAATGGAGGAGTTCGTTGGCAACACACAGGAAAAAGCGGAATCGAATTCCGAGTCCAAACGAACCCAAACGAGCCCGAGAAACGGAGAAGCACCAGCCTGCCCAGATCTCCGCGCGCGCACCGCGCCGCGACGGGCACCACGAGGCCGACAGAGAGTCCAGGCCATGCGCGCGCCACGCCGCGACAGCCAGCACGCCGCGACGCATCATCTCTTCACGCCGCAGCAGAGCTCTTCTGCACGCCATGCAACACATCACGCCGCGATGCAGCGCCCAGGACATCAGCCCTCGCACCGCGAGCCACACCACACCGCGGCACCAGCGCCCTCCGCGCCGCATCTAGACTTCCTGCCACGCCGTGCTGCCAGCTCCACGCCGCGTCCATGCTCTGCTATATATATAAGACCAAGATTGCGATCGAAAATATTATCTCTCCTTCGGGGAGACGAAAACCCTACCTCGGTCCTCCATTGCTGCTCTCTCTTCCTCTCCTTCTTCTCCATTTTTCTTTTTCCATTTTTCTCCAAATCAACTCCATTTTTCGCCTGGATTTTGTTCTTGCTCTTGGATTAAGCTTGTAACTTGGATTCGAGAATGATTTCTACATATTAATCGTAAGTTGTTTAATTTTCATTTAATTGATGAAATTGATTGCTTGGGTTTATATCATTGATTGTTTTGAATTTATTTTGCGTAGCTAAATTCGATTGTTAGGGATAAGGGATGATTGTTCTTGTTTAATTCGTATCTGTTGGGCTTGATTTGTTCGTTCTTGTGCGAGTTAATTTGATTAGGAATTGATGAATTCTTGTTTGATTGATTGATATAATCGAAGAGTGACACTTCGATCTTGCAATTGGAAACGATTGAATGTTGATTAGTCGAGTTAGGGTTTTGTTGATTCTAAATGGTTAGTTGATTAATTCTCTTCTAATTTAATTAGCGATTTTTAGAACTTAAAGGGGAGAAGTCGTAGACCTAGGCTCGCATGAGGTAGATGATTTCGTAATTGAATAGTCTATATGTTTTGGATTGAAATACGTGCTTGTCGATGATCCGTCCCTTGTTGGGAAAGGTTATTGGGATTGGATAATTTACCTGTATTGTATACTCGAGCTTGTTCGTCTATGTTCAATCTCTTGTTACGAAGAGTTATTGGGAGCGAACCGCTAGATGTCTAAGCGAGAGCGTCAATCTAGAATCGAACGATCAATGTCTTGGTTTTTCGAATAGAACTTGAATTAATTATCCCCGAATTTCTAGCTTCTTTATCGTTGTTTCATCTATATTTTTAGGTAGATTTAGTTTTATGCATTTTGTAGTCGTTAGCTAAAACTATCCTTCTTGATTAATATGTTTAGGAGTTATTTTGCTTTTATGTGCTATCAACACCAGTCCTAGATTCCGAACCGCCTTCCTCGTGAGATCGACTCAGGGAACGAATCTTTCGATTCGGTACTCGATCAAAAGAAAACAATTTGTACACAACAAATTTAGCGCCGTTGCCGGGGAAGGCAAGTAGGATATTTGGTTTTGGTTTTGATCTTATTTTCCGTGTTTCTCTTAGTTTTGTGTTTTTCGTGTTTTTGTTCTTTCTTTTGTGCATCTTTGTTTTTGTTTTTGTCTTTTTTGTTTTTGTTTTCTTTTTCCTTCTTTTTCGTGGCTGCGTGTGGTTGTTATGTTTTGGTGTGCAGGTATTATGACCTTTAACCGTGTGCACCTCTCACTGCACACCCAATCTTGGGTTAACGAGCCAAGCTATCACACCGGGTACCATGTTCAGTCTTATCCATACTCTTTCAAGCAACACTGGAACCCCTTCTCGGTCAAGCAATATTATGAGCCCTACGAGTTTAACGAGTAGCTCGACCATATATATGCTTTCGCAACATACCAATTAGTTTAGGAAGAAGACACCGCAACCCGATGTGCCCGTCTGGATCAGTCACCTCCATACTATGATTCTTGGGAATATGGCTAGACTTGGTCACATCCCTACGAGCAGAAGTGGGATTCCGGGCCTGTCGAGCAGTCATATGAGTCTCTCGAGGACTTCTCAGAGTACAATGCCAAGCTCGGTCAGGCTTTCACTCTTTTGGCATCCCAAGCGGCCCGTAGGAGCAATCTTGAGTCCAAAATCGAGAACCTTTTAGAGCACGTGCAAGCCTTAGAGGATCGTGTTAACAATTTTTCTCCCGAGCCCACAGCTCAAGGCGGATCTACACATAGGAATGAACCTCGGGAGGCTGCTTTGACATACGATGAAAAACTCGACCTCATTCTTGCTCGCATATCTGCCCAGACCACTCGTGATGAGAAGATTGAGCTCGGATGTGCTCGACTGAGCGCACAAATGGAGATTCTTACAGCACATATCGACTCAATCGAGGCACAAGTCGGCGACTCCCACCTTATGCTTGATGCTCAAGCTCGAAGTCTAAAGCAAATGTGTGAGGCCAAAGAAAAAGATGATGCGCTCTAATGAGACATTGATGATATTTCAAAGGAGGAGATCCATGGGATTGATTCTCAAGTCCTTCCCCCCACCTCCGATTTGGAGCATCTGTCTTCGAGGCCGTTGCACTGTGTTACGAAATGGGGAGGATTCAGTTCGACTTGTTCCACAGATGTGCTTATAGTTCCGGAGGTTGACGACAGCGCTCTGGTGGGAAAAGCTCTGTGTAACACCCCGCTTATCAGAGTAAATTTTTCGCAACTTTTACTTCGAAAATACTTATATCTCTTTCGAAATCTTTTGCGACTATTTC